TTTATGTACATAACATACTACTGTTTTGAATTTTAAAAGCTGAGTGAGAGATAGCATTGAAAGAGCTTTTATCACCTGCCTTTTTTATTCAACATTGTTTTAAGATTCATCCCTTTTGAAATGCAGGCATTTCTTTTGGCTATCATGTGATATATGCATTCCTGAAAACGCTCATGTTCTGCATAATTGTGTGCTAAAAATAGCAGGACTCATGGGATAATTAGAACCACAGATAATTAGGGGCAGACCACTCCAAACCTATACGCTAGTACACCAGAGCACGAACGTCAACTGCAATCCCAACAAAATGATTAGCATACCAGGGCTTTTCAGATCTTTCAAGAGCCTCACCATTAGCCATGCTTTTGCAGATTCAGCCCAGCGCCCTCCGACCTCCTTGAAGATGTATGTCTTTGAGGGCTATCACTTCCAATAGCTGTTGGATTCATCACAATTTAAAATCTGATCCTTTAATCATCAAAAAAAATTTTTTTTATCAGCACTTAGTGCATCATGACATAGCTTAATGCTGTGGAGTGTAAGCTGTGCTTGAAGCCACCAAACAGCTATTGCTTGCGCTAATGCTTTCAGCCTTTTCATTAAGATCTTTGTCTATTACTAAGGGTTTTCTTTAATCGTGAGAAAGCATGCTCTTTACTGTTTCACTACATTAACCTATTAGGGAAGATGGCATATGAATGACTGTAACTTCTGCATTGTACTGACACAATTCTCTTGTTTGCCAATCACTTACGGTCAAATATGCCTCCGCACACTGTATTGCTGCACAGTAGGATGTAATATATCTTTCATTCTTTCAAGTGGAGGAATTTCATTCCTTCATATGAATATGCATTTCTCACATCTGGATTTCTCCCCTCCTGCTCTCAACTACAAACAGTGCTGCGACAAATTTCCTTGGACATCTTTCTGAGGGAGTTTATTTTTTTAAAATAGTTTTTATATTCCTAGAATGGCTGAATTATAGGATATGAGCATAGTTAATGGGATATATACATAGATTTGGGGAACAATAGTGTTAATCATGATTTTGAGTCACTGGATGGATAAAGGTTAGCTCCCCCATTTATTCATTTTTATGCCCTTTGATAATATTTTATGATTTATTTATTTATTTATTTATTTATTTATTTATTTATTTATTTATTTATTTATTTATACAAGCACTGGGTACAGTCAGAAGCGCGAGAGGGTGAAAGAATTCACCAGAGCCAGAGTGGGGAACAGAATAGGCAGACTGACGAAATACACTGCTGAGGGGAGCAGCGGGTGTGGCAGGTGAGGTCTGCCTGCTATGTGGGAACCTCACCGGTGGCCGGGGATCCAACTGGCACTGCAGAGGCTGCGGGCAGCTTCGCAGCCCAACGCTCAACTACTGCGCCACCAGGGGAGGCCCTAATATTTTATAGTTTTTTAAATTAAAGTGTCAAATATTCCACTAGGCTTACTTTTCAGGCGTGATGCGGGAGTCATGACAGGGATCTTTTACATGCTATGTTTCCTAATTGATTTCTGCTGTGGGAGAGGAACATTTTAAATGTGTTTGATGATTATCTCTATGAACACAAATGCTGAACTCTTATTGATTCTAATAGTTGGTGAATAGATTTTCTAGGATTTTTAGCATGGACAACCACATGTGTAAATCCTTGTACTTCTCTAATCAGACTGCTTTTTTCCTTGTTTGCCACACTGGGGTGGACAGAGCAGTGGGCTGACTGGGGCATCTGGCTGTGCCCCTGACTCCAAAGGGAAGTTTCTCAAATTTCATTTTAAGTATGATATTTGCCATAGGTTTTTAGTACTTTTTGTTCTTAAAAATTTACAAAGGATGGACAAATGATCCATTTTCTAAATTTTTGTGCTGTCTGTTGGAGTGATCACTTGATGTTGCTGGTTAAATCTTTCAGAGTGATATGAATGACATTGATGGTTCTGATTTCAAACTTCCCTACATTTCTGAGGAGAACCCTTGGGAGACAAATATTAATTATCATTCTCTAGCTGCCCGTCTGCTGTTAGTGACCCAAAGTGCTGGCCCAATAAATTCCTATGGGAACCATTCAAGTACCTTATCCATGTAACTGTAAGGTTTGAATAACTCCAGAGTTCTGTTGGGGGCAGAATGGGGTGGTGGGGTGGTGGTAGCGGTGGGGAGGTGATTGAAGGTGAGGAGGGTGGGGTGGGGACAGGGGGTGGTGGTGGCTAGTGTGGGGGTGGGGAGTGAGATGGCAGATCTTGCCATGAGTGTTTTCTTGGCTCAACCTTTCCCCACTCACAGAGGTGTTGAGCTAAAGCTACAGAGTTTAACCCTGAGCTCCAGCCACTCCAGGGGAAAGACTGATGCCCCCCCACATAATGAATTCTATGTTGTCACGCCACACTGCTGTTGTGTCACTGACTCTTACCCCAGCAGGGAGAAGCCTGTACTGCAGAAACCATGTGCAAGGGCTGGGGCCACTTCCAGAGTCTGTTCTCCCTGCCAGAGAGTGAGCGCTGCCTTGGAATGGCTGTGGGTTGGGGCAGGGTAGAGGCCGACTGTTCCTGACAACGAGTGTCTAGTGGATGTGTGAGGCTGTATCTACTTGGTCTTGTTTGCTGAACAAATCTCCTGGGTTGTGATGTTTACACATTTTTTAAATGTAGTTTGATTTGATTTCTGTATCTTTTTATGTAGGATTCTTGTATCAATCTCATCCCTGTCCATAGATAAGATTGATCCTACGTTTTCTTTTCTTGTACTATTCTAGTTTGGGTTGTTGTGCTAACTTGTTAAAATGTCAAATAGCTTTGTTTTATATTATTTTTTCTCTCTTTTTAAATTCTATTCTTTTTCTTGACAGTTTTAAACATTCATTGATTCTTATTCCTTTCTAAGGAGCATCTGCAGCTACCTGGAGGTTTTTCCCATTTTTCTCCTTATCCAGGTTGTCAAACTCCTGGCTATTGCTAGACGCAGATCTATTTAATGCAATCCTCTTGGGACTTTGTGGTGTTTTTGATTTGATCACACTTGTCATTCACTCTGGAAAGTTTTCTGTTATTTCTTTGATTACTTTCCTACTTCCAATCTCCAAGTTTTCTTCTGAAATGTCTTCTTTGACTATCACAGTTTTGAGTCATACAATTTTTGTCTTTTTGAGTCTATGCTTTATGTGCTCTGAATATTTTAGTTATATTTTGCAACAAATAACTTCATTACTCATTAATTCTGTTTCTTGCGGAGGGTGTTCCTGTGCTTGTTGAGGGGGTTCCCCCTTCCCATTGCCTGCGTTCTTCCCGCATACCTGTGAATGCCTTCAGTCATTATAAAAAAGAGTGGGGAGTGCTGCCAGGTAAACCAGCCACCTGTCTGCTGGCCAGGTGAACCAGCGACCTGTCTTCTGGATATGGGAGCTTAGGGCTTCCTTCTGGGTGTGTCCAGCCTCCTGGGGATGCATTCTACTTCTCACTACTCTGTGGTGGGCCATGGCCACTGATCTTAATGCTTGGCTAAGAAGTAAGGGACAGTGGCCATAACTCTATAATCATTCTCCCCACCACTTTTTGTCCTGCCACTTTTCCTTTCACCCTTCACTCTGGAGCACTTCAGAAACACTTCACCTTTTCATGTGGCCCACCACTGCCTACATCTTGGATTATGGCTTCCTCTATCCATGTAATTGGTCTGCTTTCTGCCCCCTCCCCCACCCCGCCATGTTTCATTCTGCTCTTGGAACTTGTTCTTTTTTTTTCTGGTCCTATATCAAGTTATCTTTCAAATAATGTTTCCTGTCATTTGTAGAAACTGAGTTGGGGTAAAGATATTGGTACTCATGTGCAGTCCACTGTGGATTAAATTTAGCCTTCATGCCCTTTTCTGCCTTCCCTTTCTTCATTCTCTCAGTTATTTCTTCATCTTTTCACCCCATAACATTGTTGAGCCCCACTCTGTACTGGGCGCTGCCTTTTAGGAAGGTAATGCCATTACCCATAAATTATAGGGTCTAAATGTTCCCTCTTTCTCTTAGTAGAGATGCAACTACTGGTTTTGCATCAATATACATGCATAATTTTCTTGACCTTGGGATCATTTAGCAAAGGTTAGAGCTGTAGTGTTTGACTGCCAAGTGATCTGTATACTCATGCCCAAGTCATGTTGGCCTCATTCAGTGTCTGATATAAGAGAAGCAGCTAGGTGCTTTGGGCTCCCTAGAGCTCCATATTTGATCAGTTTTCCATTTATATCAAGTGGACCTACTGATGAGCTGTACATGTTTAGAAAACATTCAGTTTGATGGAGGCTAGCGTGGACTAAGGGGAGAACAGGAGATGGGAAAGTAAAAGTTGTCAGTAACTGTTTCCAGAGGTTTGCAGTCAAGGAGAGCAGAAAATAAAATAGACATCAGTTGTTTGCAGAAGAGCCAACATACGGCACATTTGTGAGCAGACATGTTTCCCTGGACCAGAGAATTCTTAGTAGTTATACTCTTATTAACTACGTAAAATTTGCCCTTGTCTCAGTGCAGGGCATGTTTGTCTTATTTCCCAATCTGCAAACAAGTCATTTCTAGACGGGTGAGTGAGGATGTCCTTTCCAGGAATGTCAGCATTTCTCCCCCGACTCTGCGCCTCAGGCTGCAGTAGATGTGCATGTACCTGGATACCAGTGCCCTCTCAGGTGAAGATTTTCTGTTCTTTTCCCCAGACAGAGAGGCTAAGTGGAGTACTGGGGTGTGTCTTCATCTTCTGTCACAAAAAATGGGTGATTTGGCAATAAGTAACCCACATTGATTTCTCTGTTCTGAATGGTTTTGCTACCCATCCTCTCCTGAGACAGTCGCAGGAGGTGGGGTGGAAACCTCATTTGCTAGGAAGCACTGGTTCCCCCCCCCCCGCCCCAGCTGAGGGAATAAATACACTTGGGATGGGGCAGGTCTTGAGCAAGGGATCCAGGACTTCTAGTTTCTCAGCACTCAGGCACAGACGTTTCCTTCCAGGGGGTGAATCCAGACCCAGGAGCTCTGGTAGCAGAGTGATTATGGAGAAGCTGGTGTACTGGTTCCTGGTCTTGATTGGATTTTCCAGTGCTTTTGGCCAGACAGGTAGGCGCTCCACCAGGCTATGCCAGAGGTCTGATCTGGGTAATAGGTGGGCCCAAGATTATGCAAACTGAATTCAGAGGAGCATCCAGATGGATGTGTGTATGTGTGTGTGCGTGTGCACGTGTGTGTGTGCGCGCGTATATGTGTGTGTTTAATGGAGAGGTTAGTCTATTCTCAATCCCAAACTCTAGCTGTGTGCAAGAGATCTTTGGGATCTGAGACATCTCTCATTTCTACTGTTTTCTGTCTTACAGACATGCACACAAAAGCCTTTGTGTTGCCCAAACAGTCAGATAATTCCTTTGTGACCCTGACGACACAGCTAAAGAAGCCACTCAAGGCCTTTACCGTGTGCCTGTATACCTACACCGATATGTCCCGCGACTACAGCCTCTTCTCCTGCGCCACCAGCAGGCAACCCAACGACATCCTCGTGTATTGGTCTAAGAGTAGAGGATATGTGTTTGGAGTAGGTGGGGATGAAGTTTTATTCCCGAGTCCCAAAGTCACTACAGCCCCTGTGCATGTCTGTGCCAGCTGGGACTCGGCCTCGGGAATTGCAGAGTTCTGGGTGGATGGGAAGCCCAATGTGAGGAAGAGTTTGAAGAAGGGGTACTCTGTGGGGACAGATGCCAGCATTGTCCTGGGGCAGGAACAGGATTCCTTCGGTGGGAGCTTTGATAAAGACCAGTCTTTGGTGGGAGATATCGGAGATGTGAACATGTGGGATTCTGTGCTGTCGCCAGAACAGATTAGCACCTTATATGCTGGTGGAACCTTCAGCCCTAACGTCCTGAACTGGCGGGACCTGAAGTATGAAGCACACGGGGAGGTGTTCATCAGGGCCCAGCTGTGGCCTGTGGCCCTGTCCTGAAGCCAGCAGTGCTTCCTGCCAGAGAGAACTTGTAGTTCTGGACCCTCTACCCAGACACAGAGGGGTCCACATTGTGGACCCCGCCTTTTGCTTTTGGCTCCACTCTCCTTTGCATAAGGGACAGGCTTTAAGTGTCTGACTTGGGAGGTTGTGAGCAATAGTGGGAAACCTTGTCCCAAAGATTCAGAGTTGCAGCTGTTTTTCCCTTCATTTTTATTTTTTTAAGTTGAAAAGACTTTAGACATAATCCCTTCCCTTCACCTGGAGGAGAAAATCAGCACCTATAAAGAAATGATTTTTTTTTAAAGGATACAAGACAAGTCTATCTCTGAGCTGTGAAGGGATTATGGTCTGGCTAATTCCTTACACAGGAACCCCCAGGAAGTAGGGTGGACTCGCCCATCCATGGAACTCTTCAGTGTAAGAGCTGAGACACTAACCTGGGTCTTCTGAAATGAAAACCCAGCAACATGCGCAGTTCCCTCATATTCTCAAAGCTCCTGGAGTGGCCATCAGTGGCATCTAATGGAGAAGGCCTGTCTTCCTTCCTGGGCAAAGCAGAGCATCTGCCCAGTTACTGTAATTGTTACAGCAAGGCTGGCATAATCATGTTTTTGCTAGCTCACAGTGACTGCTTTATTTTATGGATGTTTTGGGAAACTGCTCTTAAACTGCATGTGGGTTCCTCGCCACCCCACATTGCCAGCACAGGGCAATTTGTGAAGGTTGGCTGGGGTGATGTGTGTTCCCAGCAGGACCAATTGCAATCTTCCCAAGGATTAACTTATGGACTTCGGGAGAAAGACATCTTTCTGGCAGCATTTCAAGCTGAGAGGACAGGACTCTGGGAGGGTCAGCAGCTTTCTTGCTTACTACATGGAGAAAGATGCTGGGCTGGGACCTGCAGAGACCAGGGAGTGTCGAAACAATGGGACCTTGATCACATTGTTTGAATTTTCAAGTCAGCCTTGCCTTGGACCCAGAGCTACACCTAGACAACCACATTCACGAGCCAATAAAACACTGTTAACTTGAGCAAGTTTGAGCTATTTCTGATGGTTGCATATGAAGTTGTGACTTCTCTAGTGACCTTCTGACACTGAGTCCTGTGGGTTCAGACTGACCTCTGCCCATCCTGAGTTCAATGTCCACCGCATGCTGCTGGCCTCTGGCAAGCACAGCCCCTCTCTGGTGAGAGCCCACCACTCATGTGGAGCCAGTTGTGGTGGTGGTGGTGGGGTCATGCTCTCACTCAATTGTCACCCCAATTTGAAGAAAAAACCTAAGGATTTTGAGATCCAGAGTCCATTTCTATGACTGCACGCCCTGCTCCAAGCTACTCAGTTCCCACGTAGTAGCAAAGTCCCCATCTCCACCCCCACTGCCCTGCCACTGCCTCCAGTGATGGAATCTTGTTTCCTGCAGAGCTGTCCTTCACTGCTGCCCTTCACTTCTAGGTGAGGTCATATGGAATGTGACATGTGGGGCTCTCTGCATAGCAGAGCGTTATCATAGAGAAGGTACATGTGCACAGAGGTCCTAGAATCAGACTGCCAGGGTTAAATCCTGGCTTAGCTACTTCCTAGCTATGCAACACAATCTCTTTGTGTCTTGATTTCCTTATCTGTAAAGAAGGAAAACCATAATTAGCTCAAAGGATTGTTTTAAAAATCAAATAGATCTTGTGTATCAAGCACTCAGTACAGTGCCTGGCAAATCATAGGCTCTCAAAACAGTGATCTGCTGTCATCATTATTATTATTAGGTTATTTTGTAGTGTAGCCATAAACATAGGTTCATTATATACCAACACAGCACAATTTGACAAAATTGGTCTGGGTTGACAGCAGTGAAAGTGTGTGATTTGTTAAAAATTAATTTCATAATATTAGGGGATGAATGGCCCATCTTGGAGATAATTATTTATGAATATTGATTACCTTAATTGACTTTTGATGGCCATCTAAAAGCACAGAAATTAAGGATACATTTTCAGGCAAAAATGAAAGTGCAAATATCCCTGCTGTTCAATTAGGGCAGATCCATACACCCTGACATTCAGCTGAGCAGAAGGAAGCGTTCACATTGTTTTTCTAGTCAAAGAATCCAGTCAGGACATATGTCTTAATTATAGAAGACCATTCCGATTCCTCAGGGAGGTGGGCTGAGCTAATATTTTCCTCAGAATTCAATTACTGTTACCTTACTCTACCGGACAGCCTCTGGTCCTAATAATTTTAGGCAGGAAAATTTTTACAGCAGGTATTTGATTCAATGAACATTAAAATATCTCAATAAAGCATTCCTAAAATGTTTAAATTTAAGCAATTTAGCTTACCGATAGAGACTTCAACATAATCTTGCTGGAAAATATATCCCAAGATAACTGGTTAATTGAACTTTATGAAGTTGTTACATAATTCAATTAAATGCTAGATGACATCTGCCAAAGTGGATGATTTTGGTTTGAGCAGGTTGGTTCTACTTCTTTTTCACAGTAAATGGAAAGAAAGTTCAATTGTCATTGAGGCCACAGCCAGTTGATGTTAATAAAACTCTGTCATCAGCATGGGCTTCCTTTACAGAAGGGGTCATGCATTCATTTTGTCCACAAGTAGAGTCAGGCATTAAGCCTTATGTTAAAAAGACAGAGGTCCAAATGGTATATGTGACCTACACTAAAAACTACAGCATAGGGCCTCCTTGAGAAGAATGAAGTAAACTAGACAAAGAGCTTCTGTCTAGCAGAGAATAAACAATTCCTTCCTTCAAAGAGGCGAAAGAGGGCCTCCTTCGTGGTGCTGGGGTTAAGTCTCAGTGCCATCAAGCTATCACCAGCTACTGCAGCATGAGTTCAATTCCTGGCCAGGGAGCTAACCCACATGGCACAGCAGACCTCTCTGTCTGGCTCTCTGCTCCCCTCCGCAGTGTATTTCAGTAGATCTGCCTGTTCTGCTCCCCATTCTGTCTCTGGTGAATCCTCTCACCCTTCACACCTCTGGCCTGTACCCCAGTTCTTCTATGTAAAAAATAAATTAAAAAATCTTTAAAAAATAGGTGAAGGAGAATGGATTTATATATTTTAACCCATGAAATGAAGCTTACGAGTGACAGGGACAGCATCTGGATCTGAAGAGACACTGTAGTATACTACAGGCCAGTGGAGGGGTGGACTAAACACAGATGTCACAAGTTGTATGTGCAGAATTATTGGGAGATGCTAGAAGCTGATGGGATGTTTTCTTTTGGGGACTGAAATTAGCCATGTTGGTATAAGAGTCAGGGCCAGGCCTGAGCCAGGGATGAGATCTAACATGGGATGCAATGTGGTGATGACTAGATGAAGCATCAAAAATCTTCCTGTGTCCGGTGAGAATGTTGGGTGACTGGTCATGAACAGAAGACTGTATGGTCTCCAGACAGATGGGTGGGTAAGCATCCATTTCTGTGGTCTACTGAGGGCATAGAGGAAAGGACACAGCCACCTCAGAACTGGCCTGGGCTGAGAAGTAGCGTTGGAGTCCCAATTGACAATGAGAACAGGAAGAGAAGCCTGTGATTTTTCCTCCTGCTTTCCACTGCCCCCAAGTTTGATGTGCCCACAGGAAGCAGGAAACAACAAAGAAGCAATGATTCCACCTCATTAAATGGACACCACCATCACAACACCCAAATCAAGTTTCCAAAGTACACATTTCAGACCCTCCAAGTCCCAGGGAAAAAAGAGAAGAGCATCTTTGATTTCTAAGTAGCTTTATGCTCAGAAAACCAAGCTGAGGCCTTGGGTGGCCTTGAGTGGCCTTGCATAAGGCACATTCCTTCCCTGCAGCTATTACTGCCAATTCATCTATGTGCCTGGCATTTCTTCTGTGCCTGGACGTGGGTTAAGCAGCCTTGTTAACCTTCTTCTTCAGAAAAGGTGACTCCAAATGCCCCAAAATAGATGACTGGATCAAGAAGATGTGGTACATATATACCATGGAATATTACTCAGCAATCAAAAAAAGATAAACTCATGCAATTTGCAGCAACATGGATGGCGCTGGAAGGGATCATGCCCAGTGAAATAAGCCAGAAAGAAAAAGAAAAATACTGGATGGTCTCACTCATAGCAAGAATTTAGAAAACCTAAATAAGGGACCAGGAAAAAGACTAATTATAATAAAATAAAAATCAAAATCAACAAGCAACTATAAACCAGAGACACACACAAGGGGGGGGGTGGGAATTGTATGGGGACTATAACCAAGATGAAAATGCATACATTGTGCAAAAATGAAAAATGATGTAAAAAATATATAAAATTAAAAAAAATTAAAAAAAAAAAAGAAAATGTGACTCCAAGCTTAGATTTCCAGAGTCATCTGGCCCAGTGATTCTTACTGCGGCCTTCCTATTATAGTCTTCTTCATCACTTGGATGTTTATTATGAGTGTATTTTCATTAACACTGACCTGCTGGATTAGACTCTGCTTTAGACCACAGGATCTGTAGTGCACAAGCTCTTCAGCTAGTGTGTCTTTGGAACCATCACTTTGGTGTTTCCTGGCAGCTCAAGCTGGGGATCACACCTACTCCACAAAGTTCAAAGGCTGGTGGTCACCTCTGTAGAAGGATCTCAGACATCATGACTCAGTTACCTTTTGGCCTCTTTTAGGTGCATTCTCTTAGGACTCATTGGCTGTGACCTCCTCACCCCATGTCCTTTCACACACGCAGACAGGTGAGCTCAGCACCTGGCACACTACCAGGGTGATAAGCTATCACACAGGCCAGCCCCCAGGTAGTCTAAAAATATCTGCTGTTCACAGAGCACTGAATATTCCAGAAACTGTTGTTGGCCCCTCACCTACATTTACTTGTTTGCCCACAACCCTATGGGTAGGCGCTGCTTTGTAGTCCTCATTTGACAGGTAAGGAAACTGAGGCCCAGACCTGGGCCCACAAATTAGAGCTCATCCTGCACTCTGCTCTCGTTAGGAGGGAGAGCTGGGGCTGGGAGTATGTCTTCTCCTGGAGAGGCAGGCCCAGGAGGTTGCATATCCATTTTTTAACTGCCACAGTTGAGGCAATGGCACCTGCCAACTCTTCATTGTTATTGTGTGTTTAGGAGAATGGCTTTCCCACAAAAACCCTACTCATCTTTAGGATTAACGCAGCATTGGGCAGACTCTGCCTGGCCACAGCTCTTGCCTTGGAATCCTCCCCTCTTCCTCTGTCATGTTGACATTAGGCATTATCACCCTATTCTAGGGGCTTTTGCCACAGGCACGGAAGCGCACAAGGAGCCCTCCCAGTCAGTGGTTCCAACTCTAGATGCTAATGTTATAGTCCATTGGGGAAGCTTTTTAAAATCCCACCAGCCAGGCCACCTGAGATCCAGACATTAGATTCTCTAGCAGTGAGACCCGGCTGGGTGCTGGAAAGCCTTGAGGTGACAGCAAGTGCAGCCAAGTCTTCAGCGGGAACCTGGGACTTTTGTCCATGGCCCAGCGACAGCTTCACAAGGCTCTGTTGTCACTGATGGTGTGTGTGGGCTTTTTCATGTGCCCCTTGCCTCCTCTTTCCCTCATATTGTGTGGTTCTGTCTAAACTGGGGAGATCCCAAAGCTCTGGTTAAGCCCTGGAGGCCAGGCTGGAGCTGCTCTCAGATTAAGTGAGCAGAGACCCTCCCTCCAGCAGTCTTATTTATTCCATAAAGCAGCACTGTGATAACAAACATTCTGTTTGCCTTAGGATGTTTTTCTTCTCCCCTGACTGATACTTTGGATCTCTGCAATTCAAGGTGTTTGTCTGACCTACCGGGGCTTTAAATCAGCGAGAAACCTAAGTGCTGCCATGTCTGAGAAAGCTGAACTCCACTGGTATTTTTATGGGAGCGTCTGAGTGGGAGCAGGAAGGGAGGGGAGGCCTCCCCCACAAATATTTGATGGAAGGCCAAGGTTCCTTGGCTACTCCATTGATTGAACCCCACTTCTGGTAAAGTTCACCCCCACTGTCAGGTGTGAACAGTTATATACTGTGTGACCAGCTCACTGCAAGCAGCGGTGGATGGTGATGTGGTTCCAGGTAGGGCTTCTTCCTTTCCCTCTCTTCCCTTTTCTCTTCTCTGTCCTTTGCTTTAGCTTTATGTCTCTCTACCCCTCTGTCTCTTTCTGTTTTAAGCCTTGTTCAGAATATCCATTTTGGAGATAGGACCTATCCATTTTGGAGATAGGTCCTAGAAATCAATCACACTTCCAAAAATGTCCACCCACTTGCTTTTGACTTATGGGGGAGCCCAGGGTAACAAGAAGGCAATCTGGGTACAGGAAAATACCTCTTTCTTTCTTAGTCCCAATCTTTCCATCTATTATTTTTTTCTGTGCAAAATATGCATGATTTAAAAAAAAAAAAAATTATTTATTTATTTATTTATACAAGCACTGGGTACAATCAGAAGTGCAGGAGGGTGAGAGGATTCACCAGAGTCAGAACCGGGAACAGAACAGGCAGACTGACGAAATACACTGCTGAGGGGAGCAGCGTGCGTGGCAGGAGAAGTCTGTCGTGCCCAAAATATGCATGATTTTTATGTCCAAATTATGCATTTTTTTAATTGGAGGAAATGGTTAGAATTACAAGAAAAAAAACTCTTGAAGCATTTACTTTAATCCAGTCTTCTACTTTAAAAGCAAGATGCAAAAGGTTGGGAGAGGTAATTAAAAAGAAAATGTAACGCTACATCGTTAAAACAAATGAAAAAAGCCAAACTTTTCCAGAAATCTACTTCCATCTGTAACAGTCCCTTTTCTTTGTGCGCAGAATAGGCTACCCACAAGCTAGATGATTCTTTCAGTCAATTGAGAAATACCCTCTATTAGCAATCCCTTGTTGGCTATCAGTGGAAAACTCACAATGAGGCGGTGACGGAGAGATGCACAATTCTTTTTATATGTAATTATAATGTTTTATACGGGATTTATATATTGCAAAACACTTTGTATGTATATGTATCTCAGGATGTCTAACTGATATTGTCCTTTGTTTCAGTTATTCTGGGAGTAAAGCCAAATAGTCACTGTCAGACTGGGTGTTCTATTCATAAAATGAAGCAGTATCTTTGGAAGCTTCAAGCACTAGTGATCTTCATTTCCTCTTTCCTTGCCTCTTAATTACACACACACACACACACACATTATTTTATGAGCAATATAACCACATAATGGAAATATTAATGAATCCCCTATAATTTCCATAACCTCACTACTATGATAAGAACACATTATTTGGGGGTATTCCTTATAGATTTTTTTCTAAACTGTTACTTCTTTTAAAAAATAGTGTATAAACAAACCTATGTTATCTTTTTTCTTACATTTTTTTTATGCATTGTATTTTTATACATTGCAGGATAAAATTCACAACCAATGTTATAACTGACCATTCTATTTAGCACTTAAACATGCTCCAATTTTCAGTTTTTTCACTACCCTAGGTAACGTCATGGTTGTTTTTGTGATAAAGCCTCACCTCCTTGTTTTGCAGCATTTCCCCAGGATATAGTCCCAGGATGTAAGTGTAAAGTCTCCAAGCACTGCCACACAGGGCTGCTGAGGGCCTTCGGGCACCTGGAGTCTCTAATAAATAACCCTTATTGATTTCTCATTCTGTGATTTATCTTGGTTTCTTTGCTCTTAGAGCTTTGATTTATGGTTCTAAGGGGCAATTTTGGAAAATCATTTACCCATCGGCTGAGACACATATATAAGACCAGGGTGGAGCTGACCTGAGGCAGAGGGATCTCAGCTGCCCAGCCAAGCGGGCTCGGTGCCGACCAGCCTCGCCAGGAGGACAGCCTGCTTCTGGGCCTCGAGCGAGGTGGGGGGCGGGGGCATGGAGACCCTGTGGCCATGCTTCCTGGTGGTCATCAGCCTCCCAGGCGCTTTCCTCCAGATAGGTAGGTGAGGTCTGGTGTCAGAGTTCAGGGTGAGCCCAGTGGGGAAAGGGTGTGATGAGGTTTGGGGAGAGGGCCTGTGGTAGCTGATCCAGCTGTGCTATACACAGCTTGTGGCCAAAGAATCTTAACAAGCTGACATTTCCCCTCTGTTTTATACCCTGCAGACATGTATGGGAAGGTCTTTGTGTTGCCCGAAGAGTCAGCTAATTCCTTTGTGACCCTGAAGGCACAGGCAGAGAAGCCCCTCACGGCCTTCACCCTGTGCCCGCGCTTCTGCACCGACCTGCCCAGCACCTACGGCCTCTTCTTCTACACCACCCGCAAGCAGACAGAAGACATTCTCCTGTCCAGGCGAGGGAATGGGGTGTACAGTGTGGGCGTGAGTGGCGCCCAGGTGTCCTTCAGGTCTCCTGTGCACTTCCCTGCCCTGGAGCATGTCTGTGCCAGCTGCCACTCGGCCTCAGGGATCGCGGAGCTCTGGGTGGATGGGAAACCCATGGTGAGGAGGTGTCTGAAGAAGGGCTACTCCATCGGGACCGATGCCAGCATCATCCTGGGACAGAGGCAGCATTCCTTGGGTGGTGCCTTTGATATGCAGCAGTCCTTGGTGGGAGACATGGAGATGTGTACATGTGGGACTCTGTGCTGTCGCAGAAAGACATGAAAGCCGTCTATGCTGGCTGGACCTTCAGACCTAACGTCCTGGACTTGCGGGCGCTGAAGTATGAAACTCACGGGGAGGTGTTCATGGGGACCCCACTGTGGCCTGAGGCCCTGTCCTGACCTTGCAATGCTTTCCTTCTGTAAGACCTTTAGTTCTTGATCCTCTGCCCCATATACACTGAGGCCCTGCCCTGAACACTAAAGTTACTCGTGCAGAATATGTCTGACATTTTCATAGTCTCTGGTTCCGGTGGATTTTGTTTGTTATTTTATTTTTTTTTTGTTTGGCTTTTTTTTTTTTTTTTGGTTGTTATCCCATATACATGGCTCTGGAGTAGCCAGGGTGAAGGGTGGGGGAGGTGAGAGAGCTGTATTTCCCTTCTCCTCATCAGCACAAGGGACAGAGCAGCCACAGGTTCTGGGCCACATATTAGAATCCCAGGCCACATTCCAGGCCACATTCCAGGCCAATTAAATCTGACATTTTGGGGTGGGACCCACATCAATATTTTTTTAAAGCTCCCTAGGTGATTCCAATGGCAGCCAAGGCTGAGAACCACTGCAATTTAGAGTCTGTTTCAAAGCAGGTGAGCTGGTTTCTATTCTCCTGAATGATGGCAGGTGTGTAACTGCAGTCCTGCCAACATTTCATTTCCCTTAATAGGCACACCCGTCCCATTTTAATGTGCTTTATTATATTAGCTCTACAATACAGGAATAGGATTTTCCAGCATTTTGTCCCTATCATCAAGGTGTGTTCACTATAAATTAGAATTATCTTTAATTCTTTCAAGTTGAAGATACCAAAAATTAAAAAAGAAATGTTTTGTTTTCCCTTTTTTCTTAATTTGTTTTCCTTTTTTTCTTCTGAACCACCAGTTTTCTTTCTGAGATTGCTGTTATTTTCTTTCTCACTTATCAGCTGGGGCACTTTTAACTGTGTCCTTTATCCTTATATTTTGAACTTTTTATCTTTTCAAACCTGCCTTTGTATTGCTGGTTTCTTTTTCTGTTTGGCATATTGAGTTCCTTAAGGCTTGTAATGTCACTTAAAGTTTTTGCATTTTGGATTGTCTTAAATTCTTTCTTGAATTTAGTGTGTTTTTTTGCCAATGCTCATCTTTCACCAAGTGTCTGATTCTTCAATTTGCTTGAAGGGCTGGTCCTGCAGGGATTGGAAGGATCAGGGTGAGTGGGTGGGGATGGGGGGAGTGGCAGAGGGCACGCCATGCCGTGCTGGGTGGGGAAACTTCAAAGGAACAGAGGAAACTGGGGAGAAGTGGGGAATCAGGGGAGCCACCCCAGGTGGCACTTCTGAGGAAAAGAGAGTGGAAAGGAAGATTTCTGTGTCATTGAAAAGTCCAAGGCACTTTGGGCCTGGAATTCTGACTCTGAGGACAGATGGTGGCTGAGTGGTGTAGGGTAAATGATGTCAGGCTTTTCTACCCTCCCGCCATCAGGATAGATGATGGATCCCTGCGGTCCTGAATGCATGCCTGATGGCGGGCACCTGGAGTAGGGTGTGGGCATGCGTAGGTGGAATTCACCTGGGCTGAGACGGGGCCTATAAGGGCAGCGTCAAGGGGAGCAGAACCACCAGAGGAGAGTGAAAGAGAGAACAAGAACAGAACCAGCAGAGAAGCAGAGGCCACAAGAGAATGCCGGAGAGCCCAGAAAGAGTGTAGATTCGCTGGGGGCTAGGAGGCTCCAGCCTGTCGTGTACATGGTAAACTCAATTTAAGCCTGAAAAAGCCACCGGGGGCTCCAGGGCTCTCCTCCTTCACCCGCTCTGCTCAGATCACAGAGAACCAGCTCTGTGCCTTCTTGCTGCTACAGTCGGAGCTGGCCAAGAACATGTGTTGTGGGGACCCACAAGAACAAAGGCCTTGGCGGCACTGAGCACACAGCACAGACGTGTCCACGCATTGTGGGGAGGTGAGTCTCCAAGAGGGGGCATTCCACACAGGTCTCCCGTTTCCACTAAGCAGAGCAAACAATCTTTTCAAATGAAAATTAGATTAAGTCTCCTCCTGAGGAGAAGCCTGATTATACATACTTTTTCCTTGCCCTCAAGACCTGTGCTTTCTGATTCCTCTCCTTGGTGGGTCTCTACTTCTCTGAAGGATTCTGCTGTCTGCCTATCTGCCTGCTGTCTGCTTATCTGGGCGTTAAAGTAAGATGCCTGGGATGTGACACCTTTGCTAGTGGTGCTTAGGGTGAGCAGTCAGACCTCAGAAACAGCACGAAGTGCACAGAATCACTGCCATCACCAGGGTCTCCTATGTCAGCAAGTTTAAATGCCCCTGGTTTTCTAATGGTGTGATAGCCATAAAAAGGGGAGGTTCCAGGTTTCCTGCCACACGCAAGGAAGGGTGGAGTAGAGCAGGGATGAGAAGCTGATGATGAGAAGTTTGCAGTGGAGAGACAAGACGAAGAAGATTGGAGGAGGCACATCGAGCAGAGTGACATGGGAAGCTGAGCTTTCTTCTTGGCCTTGGACTTGTACCAGGCACTTGGGGGACCTGGAAGGAGACGCTTAGAAGAGACAGAGACGTGGGTGAGAGATCTGTAGGGAGGCTGGCAATGGCAGCCTTTATCTGACTAATATTTTGATTTTGTTCTTTTCCTTCCAAACTTGCCTGGCCCCTTCCTGCCCCTTTGCTATGGATCCCCACCAGTAGGACTTAGACTTATGACAATATTTTGGGCCTCAGCTGCCATGCTTTGGGCCAAACTTTTTTGGGAATTTACCAAAATTTGAGGGGATGGGTAACTTGGGTGTTTCATTGGAAACTATTTTAACTATCTTCTTTCTCTTCTCTCTATTTCACACTAATTCTCTATTGTACACTAATTGTATTAAAGTTCTTTTTATTGAAATGTTCAACATCACTTGCCATCAGGGAAATGCAAATCAAAACTACCATGAGATACCATCTTACACCAGTGAGAATGGCACATATTAAAAAAACTAGCAACAACAAATGCTGGCGAGGGTGTGGAGAAAAAGGAACTCTTCTGCACTGTTGGTGGGAGTGCAAACTGGTCCAACCACTGTGGAGAGCTGTGTGGAGATTTCTGGACCTACTAAACATAGAGCTTCCATATGATCCAGCAATTCCACTCCTAGGTATTTACCCAAAGGACACAGAAACATCAATTCCAAAGAACACCTGCACCCCTATGTTTATAGCAGCACTGTTTACAATAGCTAAGCTTTGGAAACAACCCAAATGCCCAAAAATAGATGACTGGATCAAGAAGATGTGGTACATATATACCATGGAATATTACTCAGCATTCAAAAAAGATAAACACATGCAATTTGCAGCAACATGGATGGCACTGGAAGGGATCATGCTCAGCGAAATAAGCCAAAAAGTAAAAGAAAAATACCGGATGGTCTCACTCATAGCAGGAATCTAGAAAACTTAAATAAGGGACCAGGAAAATGAATAACTATAAGAAAGTGAAAATCAAAATCAACAAAAAACTATGAACCAGAGACACTTTTAGGGGGGCGGGGGCGGGAGGGGAGGGATTGGGGTCAGAATGGGGGGGCTGCAATTGTATGGGGAATATAACAATAAAATTTATAAAAAAAAAAAAAAATAAAGTTCTTTTTATTGAAGGTCTTACTAGAGAATGTTTTATCTTGATGTGGAGGATGGCAGAACCCATTTAGAGCAGGCAGATTTGGGGATCCAGGATGCCCCTCATTCTGCCCTGTAACTGTTTTTTCCACAGGCCTCAGCCTTTGTTCTCCTCTGTACCCAAAATGCTCTCCAGATCCTCCAGGGACTGGCCCCAAAGTGTTCTGTCTCAGATAGAGATCTCCTCAGAAAGGATCTTTCCTGGTTGTTTCATCATCTGCTATTTATTTCTTAGTAGCTATCACTGTCTAAAAAATTGTTTTATTGTCATTCCTTTATTGTGTGCCTCCCCAGCTAGGCTGTGACTTCCGTGAGAGCAGAGACATTATTCTCAATTGTGTTGAAGCTCCAGAATGGTGTGGGCTCATAGTATGTTCTCAATAAATATTTGATGAATTAATTAATTCCAGGGAAGACTGCAGAGCAAAGAAATGCTTTGGATGCTGCTGAGGATGGAGAAATCCCTGCAGAGCAGGAGGTTGTGAAACCCTATTGTTGTCATAGATTAACTATAACTCTGGCTGCTTTCACTCCTCAGAGAAGGGAGGGAAGGACCACAGGCTGAGCTCACATTTGACTCAGCATCATGCTTTTGGGAACAGAGCAGGTAGGGAAATGGGAATTTTAAAAATTATTAAAAAAAGCTGGACATAAATCAGAGGCCAGAGGAGATTTGAAATAACATGCAGTCTTTCTTATAATCCAAGAAATGCAATTTAAAGATAGCACATCTCATTAATGATTTTTTATATGTAGTTTTCCCTGATCAGATGACCCCTCTAACATTTGTGAAATTACATGCTTATACATTTACATTATTTTTTTAGGTGGAAAATGTGCTATTTATTCACTAATTTTGATGATTATAAATGTTTTCACTAAGGAAAAGATTAGAACAGCCCATTTTTATGGCTGGGGAATGTATTTTCCATAGTCCTCTTCAACAGAACAAAAACATTCACCTGAATGTTGGAATTCAGTTCTGTGTATAAAGTCCCTTGTGAAAATAAAGGAGAATAAAAACAAATGGGAAGAAGGTTGGAAAAATTTTAAAAAGATTAAGAAAAAGAAGGGGGAAAGGAAGTGATGACGACTCACTGCCTCTCCCCAGCTTTCCCTTGGTCCTATCTTCAGGCTCCTGCTCCCCTCCTCCACTTAAAGAGCTTCCAGCTTTTCTGCCGCTTGATGGAATTATTGTTTTGCCTGATCCTGATCTTTCCTTCTCTTTCTCTTTGATCATGCTCCTGCATTCTTCAACCTTTGCTTTGAATTCTGTACAGTTGCAGCAGTTACTAGGTGGATGGCCAGCAGCTCGACTTGGGGCACTCAGGGGCAAAGTCGGCAGGGCTGTGCCAGACCCAGGATGGCCCCTGCCCACAGGTGACCTGTGCGCCATCATCTGTGTGATGTAGTGATTGGCATGGAGCTTGGGCAGATTGACTCTCCTTATGCTTCAGGAAATTGACTAGCTAGTGTCTTGCTTCTTCCATTCTGGAAGCTCCTTCTCTGAAGCAAATCGGAACAGCTTTGCTTGCATTTAAAAAATTCCTCTTCA